TTCTTAGTGTAGAAAGATTTGAAAGACTACCATTGAAAATAATATAATTTTTATTTCCTTGAATTAAACTTTTGCCCTTCTAGCATTCTCACCATTAGCTTCTAATCTTGAAAGCATTGAGAAATTGTCCTTTTTTTCTCTTGAGTTTAACAATTTAAATTAAAAAATTAAATAAATTACTCTTTAGGAAAGAGGTAGTGAATTGTCAGATGCTGCCAAATTTCAACTTAGAAATGAAAATAAAAACTAAAAAGCTTTTTTATATGTTTTAAAATTAAAATAAAACTGTTTCAACAGAAGAAGTATGCAAAGAATAATTGCTAAATTTTATAAAAGAATATCAATAATAGAGGTACTTTGCCATACAAATCTGATATCAGTAGAAAAAAGAAATAAGACCATAGTTTTCCCATCTCTTGAGAAAAGCAATGACATTATTGCTAAACAAAAGCTAAAACTCTAACCTCATAAGAACTGACTCAATTGCTTTTTCAGTTCTCACACATCCTAACCATTCACATTCACATTCTTGATTGGAATATAAAACCCTGCCTTTTAAATATATAAGGGTAAAGGATGTGATCAGGGTGCTAGAGGTGGTTTCCTTGCCCAAGAGGATGGATAAACTCTATGTCTAGGAGGTTATTGAAGTTTTTGCACAGAATGGATCCCTGAAGTTTTTGGAGTCTTTGCAGTGTGAGCAGAACCTTGAAAGATTTTCACAAAGCAACTCAATTCTCTTTACAAAATGTGAAAGCATCTCCAGCTTCAAAAACAAAATCTTCTTCATTTTCTTTAAATTGAGGGGAAAAGTTTTGTATTCCAAGATTGATCACAAACTTCTTAAACAAGGCTAAGATCATTGAACGTGATGGTGGGCGCGCGCGTGCTTTGGAGGCCGCGATTCCTACGCGGCTGGGAGATTTCTGGTGCTTCCGTACGTGGTTTCTTTGCACAAGAGGATGGATGTGCTCTATGTTCGGGAGGTTTTCGATGCGCTCTACCAGGATATCGTAGAAACGCTGGCGATCGAGGACTGCTCTCTGTGCCTCTTGAATGGCAACTCCGGCGTGGGCAAATCGGCCTTCCTGTGGTACTTCATCATCAGGACGGGCATCGACAAGCCGGGCTCGCTCATCCTGTACGAGTCCGAGACTTTCATCTGGGAGTTTCGAGGCCGCTCTCTCAAGCTCATCGCCAAGCACGACTATCCTCTCCACCTCATCGCATCGCCCAGTGTCGACTACCATCTGATCGATCAGAAGATTTCGTCCGGCAGGACGCTCGGCGCTCAAGCACTCCTTGCGGGCTCTCCAGACGAGAGCAACACAAAGATCGCGTCTCCCGGTTTGGAACAAGAGAGAGTTTGATGCTCTCGTGGAAAGCTGGAAGAGGAGGGCCGATTCGATGCCCCGGCTACCGGATGGAAGCCCGTCCGCGAGAGCAGCTCACGCGTACCAAAGAGTGGCCGCCGCCAACTTAGCGTTCGAGTGGTTTGGCGGCGTTCCTCGGCTTCTCTGGGATCGCGAGCTTGAAACTCTCACCGAGGAGGACTTTGCTTCGGATGTTACCAAGTGCCTTTCGAGCACGAAGCTCAAGAATGTGGCAGCCATCTTGGAAAACCATTATTCCATTTCGTGTTGAGGCCCGGATCTTTCAGCCGGTTCCAGTATACGTTTTGCTCGGACAAGGTGGCGAGCATGTTTGCGCAGTACCTGTGTAGCGCTACGAACGTGGAGAAGCTCGGAAGGTTTCTTGAGGCTACTCGGATGTTCAAGGAGTACGCGAGCTTGCGGGGCTTCCTCTTCGAGCAGTATGTGCTCCGCCAGGCTCTCCAGCGCAACATCATGGCCTTGCCGGCGGTAAAGTTCTTGTGATCTTGGCTGAACTTCTTCTCACTTAGTCGTGCTTGCAGAGCGATTCAGCTTGCTGTGGAGCGTGCCACCGGAAGAACACTGCGAGGATTCAATGCGGGGGTTGTCTCGGCTGGTACCATACCAAGTGTGTACAAGCGAAAGTTACCTCCACGAGGTTTCGCTGTGAACGCTGCGATGGTGCTCCCGAGGTGGTGGAGCCTCTCTTGCTGCGTTACTACGAAGGAGATCTCGAGGATGCATTGCTCGCAGCTGGTATAACGCTCTTTGTTTCTTCTCGCTATGATTCTAGAAAGCTTTTTGCGTTCTTCAAGGCAGGGATGCAGCAAAGTTCCTGTGGAGACCACTGAGAAAGAACAGCGCAGGACTTGGCTTCGTGTGGTTGCCACGAACGCTGGGCGTTGCCACAGTTTGTCGCGATCGCAAACCGGCAGTGGAGCATCTGGCAAAGGCAATGCAGGCCTTGCGAAGTTGGAGGCACGAGTACGATCGCAGCTACACTGAGGAGGACAACATAGTACTCTTGTTTCTCGTGTCTCCGGACGCTTTCTCGAGCTTCCAGTTTCAGCCATACCAAGTATCTGGAAAGGTTTCTCACAAAGCCATGAAAGGTGAGCTTTGCTAGAGTTTGTGAGAAGATCTTAGTCTTTTCTTCTTAGGAGTTGTGCAGTGTAAGATGGCTGTTCCAGTGCAAGGCAGTGCTTATCTCTCGCTGCTCGAGCCCAGGAACTTGGAGGGTGTTGCTGCTGTGGATTTGGATCGGCCGGAAACTTGGGAGGATGTCTTGGGTTGTGCCGAGCTCGCGCAGGATCACGACAATGGTCTGGAGATGCTACTCACAGAAGAGAAGATCGGGATGTGTGAGCGCAAGCTGGTCTACGAGGGAGATTTCCTCGACGTGTTAGAAGAGCTCGAAGATATCCAGCATAACCAGAGACGACTCCAGGCTGTGTGCAAGATTTACAAGATTCCCGCGACTTCTTCCAGCTCGCAGATGCTGGAGCTAAGCGCAAGGAACTGGAAAAACTCAAAGCCAAGTGCCAAGAACTTGAGGACCTCGAAGAGCTAGACTAGAAAGTTTTCCCAAGGTGACGGGCATTTTTGCAAAGAGAAAGAGCTTGCGAGCTACGTGACGATCAAACTCTCGTTGAGCTTGCTGCCACCGCCTTCTCCATCACTCGGCCTCGCGATGGCGCCACAGAGATCACTGCGATCACCCCGGTAGATGTTTGCCAGGAGCACATACGAGGCCGAGTCCTCGGGCTCCAAGCTAAACACCCGCCGCGCAGCGCTAGCGCCACTCTCCATGTCCTTGTAGCTCCGGCAAGCTCCCAGAAAGCATCGCCACTCCAGCGCATCCGGCAAGAACGGCATGCTCGCAATCAGATCCTGCGCGTCGCGGAGATGCCCGGCCCTGCCCAAGAGATCCAGCACGCAGCAGTAGTGCTGCTTGCTCGCTCGCAATCCATAGTCCATGCCCATGGACACGAAGTAGGATCGCGAGCCATAGACCTTGCCCTGGATGCTACACGCCAGGAGCACGGACACGAAGCACGCTTCGTCCGGCGCATCGATCGGCGCAAGCGCATGGAATAGATCCAGCGCCTCAATCGAGTGGCCGCTCTGCGCGTAGCCGGCCAGCATCGCGCTCCAGCACACCACGTCGGGGCTCCACATCCCATCCAGTAGCGCCCTCGCGGCGCGCACATCGCCGCGCTGCGCCATCGCCGCCAGCATTGTCGTGCACGACACGAGATTCCTCTCGGGCATCGCGTCGAAGAGCGCCTTGGCCTCGTCTAGGGCCCCTCCGCCAACGTAGGCGCCAACCATGGCCGTCCACGTCACCAAATTCTGATTGGGCATCGCGTCAAACGTGTGCTTGGCCTCCTCCAGATGCCCATTCTGGGCATATGCCACGAGCATCGCGTTCCAGCACACAACGTTTTGCTGGGGCATCTCGTCGAAGATTCGCTTCGCTTCTTCCACGTGGCCGGCCTCCGCGTGAGCCACAAGCACAGCCGTTGTCGATATGAGATTATGCTCGGGCATATTCTCGTAGAGCCTTGATGCCTCATCCAGATGCCCAAGCTGGGCATATGCTGATAACAGGGCGTTCCAGGTGACTACGTTGCGCTGGTCCATTTGATCGAAGGTTTGCCTTGCCAATGCCAATTTTCCGTTGCTTGCGTACGCAGTGAGCATTGCGGTAGAGAGCACTAGGTCCTGCTCCGGAATTTGGACGTAAATCCGCTTTGCCCCATCCAGATGCCCATTCTGGGCATATGCAGTTAGCATTGCGGTCGAGCAGTACGGATCCCATTCGGGCATGTCGCCGTACAGCGCCATGGCGGAATCCAAGTGGGATCTGTGTGTGTGCCCCGTTAGCAGCGTCGTCCACGTCACAAGATCTCTCGCCGGCATTTGCTCAAAGAGAAACTCGGCAATTTGCAAATGCCCACTTTGGGCATATGCGGTTAGGATAGCATTCCACGACACGAGATTTTTCTCTGGAGTGGCATCGAAGGTAAGTTTTGCGTCTTCCAAGAGCCCACTTTGGGCATACGCTGCTAGCATCGCATTATAACACGCGATCGTTCTCTCTGGCATAGAAGAAAATATCTCCTCGGCATCTTTGAGATGCCCATTTTGGGCATAGGCCGATAGCATCGCGCTCCACGAGACCGGTGTCCTGTCGGGCATTTGATCGAAAAGGAGCTTCGCGGCTTCCAGATACCCGGCCCGGGCATAGGTCGATAGCATGACGTTGGAAGCCACTGGACACTCCTCCGGGAGCTCGTCGAAGAGACGCTTGGCCTCGAGGAGCTGCCGGTTCTGCGCGTAGGCCGAGATGATCATCACCCAAGTGTAGCTATCTTTCGCCCGGATCCCATCGAAAACCTGCTGTGCGTGCCTCGGGCTGCCACACTTCCCATACATCTCGATGAGCTTGTTGAGCACGAAGACGTCGGATGGATTGATCTTGGCTCGGATTCGCGAGTGGACCTCGGTGGCTGCTCGGAGCGTCTTGGAGGACTCGATCTGTCTGACCAGAGCGCTTCTGTCCATATAGAAACTCGACTGTGCCGTCTCATAGAACTCGCGAGCGATGGAGATCTTCCAAACTCCTTGGAAGAAAGCATAAAAATTTAAGTAGAAGAAACTGTGCTGTGGAGGTCACCTGGGAACTTCTGCCGAGCTGCTGAAGTAGAATGGAACCGAGCCCGAGTAGCTCGTCCCGGTCGTGGAGGCGAGCTCCTGCGCGTTTACCATGAGTGGGATCGGCCTCTCGGGCATGGACGGCACCGCGAGATCGTTCTCCAGCATCTTCACAACCTGTGCCATGCTCGGCCTGTAAGCTACCTGGGGATGAGCGCACAGGAGTGCCACCAGTATAAAACTCTCCACCACCTCCTCGTCTCCCAGCTTGTCCATGGGCTGCTGCAAAATATCCACGATCCGCGTCTCCTTCATCACTGACCACGCCCAGTCCGCGATGGGCACCGGCCTGTCGCTGGCTGGAGTGTGAACCAGCGCCTTTCTCCCGCTGAGCAGCTCCAAGAACACGATCCCAAAGCTGTAGACGTCGCTCTTGTCGGTCAGCTGATTGTAGAGAACGTACTCCGGAGCGACGTAGCCTTGGGTTCCGGCAACTCCAGTCGTCATGTGTGTCATCCCCTCGGGAGCGAACTTGGCGAGGCCGAAGTCCGCGACTTTGGCGTTGAATTCCGAATCCAGGAGAATGTTGCCACCTTTGATGTCCCTGTGGATGATCGCTGGCTGCGCACCGTTGTGCAAGTATGCCAATCCTTTGGCCGTTCCAATCGCGATCTTCTGGCGAGTCGGCCAGTCGAGGTTCTTCTTAAACTTCCCAAAGAGGTGATCGTCGAGGCTGCCGTTGGACATGAACTCGTAGACGATGATCCGCTGGTGTCCCTCGCTGCGGCTGCTTCCAATGCACCATCCCAGGAGAGGAGCCAAGTTCTTGTGCCGGACGCTGCTGATCATCTCCATCTCGTGGACGAATCCCTCGTCACCCGCGGGAGAGCAGTTCTTGAATCTCTTGAGTGCCACCACCGTTCCATCCTGGAGAACTCCCTTGTAAACGTTTCCATAGCCACCTTGCCCGATGAGCGTCGTCCGGTGGAAGTTCCTGGTCGCCGCCTTCATCTCGTGCATGTCGAAGCGAATCAAGCTCGCGTTGGAATGCATCGATCTCTCGAGAGCGGAGTCTCGATCCTCCAGCAGCTTCCTTCGAGATTTTTCCTTGCAGCGTTTCCTCCACCATAGCCAAGCCAGCACTCCTGTGCCACTTAACGCTAAAAATCCAGCCACCACGATCAAAGCGATCTTCCAGACCTCTCTTTTCTCCCCACCTCGGCTTCCCTGGTTGAAGAACATGCATGCCACTGTGCCTGGATCCGTCGGGCCATTAAGATTCACGATGGAGGCAGCGTAGATGTGAGCGTAATCCAGGCAAGTGCTGCCATTGGATCGAAAGCTCACCGAGCTCACCACAGCGGCAGTGCAAGCGCTGCAAGACGGCCCATCTCCAATATTTCCTCGGCAGTTCGTCTGGATATTCGCTATGGAGGCCGAGCTCGTGGCGCTCGTGAAATCCCCGACGCTGGTGAAATTCGGGCAGCGCGTGGATCCTGATTCTAGAGTCTGAGAATCGATGCTACACCGTACCGTGATATCTGGAGCCACGCCCTGGCGCTGGAGCGACGCCTGGAAATCTTGGATGCATGTCGATGCGGTGGCTGCTGGGAACAAGAATCTCTGCGTCCTGTTGAGCTGCGCCGCGATGACAAGATTGAGCTCCTCCCTCACGGCCAGACACTGGCGTCCCGGATCCCTGTCATTCCTCGCGAAAGCAAACTCGTCGGCAGTCACCGAGAAATCCAGAGGGCAAGAAGATTGGCCGAGAACGAGCAATCGCGCTGGGGAGAAGAATCGGAGCAGCGCCGCTGCTGCCACCGCTACAAGAAGCAAGCGCCTTGATCGGCCATAGGCGGACATCAGCGATCGATTGCTCGATCTCTCGCCAGAAGAGAAAATCAAAAGCGACTGCTAGAAGACGACAGAGGACATGACAATCGTGTGTTCGAATCTTAGCCCTATAATTTGGACAAAGGGTAAAAAAGAGGACGTTAAAAAGAAATGCGGTAGAAGTAGAAAAATGAGACTACTTGGGATCGAATCCTGCCCCCTGCGCAACGCGTCTAAGGTCCACCGACACTACACTCTAAAAGAAGAAGCTCGCTTTCTTCCATCGTGCATTCGATCCAATCTTACTCCAAATCCATGGCCGATTCGTCCGATCCCAGCAGCATCGAGGTCGCGGAGCGCGGCGCCAAGAGCAAAGATCACCAGGAAGAGCAGGAGTCCGAGGGATTCATGGCCAAGGTAAAGGATTTCATCCACGACATTGGGGAGAAGATCGAGGAGACGATAGGTTTCGGCAAGCCCACGGCCAGCCTGAGTGGATTCCATCTCCCCAGCATCAATCTCGAGAAGGCCGATGTGGTCGTGGACGTGCTCATCAAGAACCCCAATCCAGTCCCCATTCCTCTGGTCGACATCGAGTACCTGATCGAGAGCGATGGCCGCAAGCTCGTCTCCGGGACGATCCCCGACGCCGGCACGATCCACGCGCACGGATCCGAGACGGTGAAGATCCCTCTCACCCTGATCTACAAGGACATCGAGGACACCTACGATGATATCAAGCCCGGCGCGGTGATCCCCTACCGCGCCAAGGTCGCGCTCTTGATCGACGTGCCGGTGTTTGGGCGGATCACGATCCCGCTGGAGAAGACGGGCGAGATCCCCATCCCTTACAAGCCCGACGTGGATGTGGATAGCGTGGAGTGGGATCGCCTCTCGCTCGAGGAGACCGCGGCGACGATGAAGATCAAGGTGGAGAACAAGAACAAATTCGATCTGGGCGTGCGCGAGCTGGAATTCGAGCTCACGCTGGCGGACACGCCGATCAGCCGCGCCAAGCTCGGGCAGTCCGCGGACATTGCCGGCGATGGAGTAGGGTTCTTGGAGGTGCCCATCTCGTTTCGTCCCAAGGATTTTGGATCCGCGCTGTGGGGGATCATCCGTGGCCGCGGCGCTGGCTATAGCTTGGTGGGGAAATTGGAGGTGGAGACTCCATTCGGGCCAATGCATTTGCCCATCTCCAAGGAAGGAGGGAAGACTACGCTCAAGAAGAAAGAGGGGTGTAAAGACGAGGACGAGGACGAGGACGAAGGGGACGATGGCGAGAAGAAGAGCCACCATAGCTGGGGGATATTCTCTTCTTCGCGAGAAGCCGAGGTAGAAGCTGATCGAGAAGCCAAGGTCGAAGCCGATCGATCTCTCGAGAATTGATCTCTCGCTTGGTGTGCTCGATCTTTTGCTTGGTATACCTATATGTATAAGCTTGATCATCGAGAAGATATGAACGTTTGCATGTTGTTTCGTAAAACTTCCAACTTTCCTGGAGGATCTTCTTTTGGTTTTTGCGCTTGAATTTTTTCTTTTCTTTCTTCCCAAAATCGGAACCGGGTGAGTTTGATCTCGAGGCGAGCGATCAAACCGACCTGTTTCCTTCCAGGCAAAAGGCCACTTTGTAAGAGGATCAAACTTTGCTACTGAGTGATCGCATCGCTCGTCTTACTCGGTTGCGCCCGTGATCTTCTTCTTGAGCTCCTCCACGTCTTCCAAGAGCTCCTTTCTACTCGACTGCCACGAGCACGAATTCTTTCAGCTTCTGGAGGAGTTCTGAGCTAAAAAACAATCGTACCTTGAAGAGAAGGTACCGATAGACGAACCAGCCAGTGTATCCCAGTCCGACGAGCTCCATCACCTTTGGAAGCTGATCGATCGATCAGCAGAAAATGTTTCGTAAGCCACCGCAATTGTGATTTTTTCTCAAGTGACACTAACCAATGGAACAGAGTTTATAGCTCCAACTATCGTTGCCGAGAACCACAGCGTCACAAGCGCTCCACCGCCGTAAACCAGAACAGTGCTCTTGTTCTCCACAGATTCCCACTGCAAAGAAAGATGAAGTGAGACAACGCTCTCATCGGATGCTGCATGCCAAACCTTGGTCTTCAAATCTGAAAAGATGTCCTCGACTTGCTTGCTCACGTCTTCCGTGGATGTTGTCGTGCCAGTTTCCTCGGACGAGGTCGTTGCCTTCAGAGGAGCAAACCTCAAAGATCCTGCGAGGCGGCCAAAATTCTCAATCACACAGTGATCGATGCCAAGCACTAAAAATTCCGCTAAGGACATACTCTAGGTAGCTGGAAATCCACAAAAATATTTCGCGAGCAATGGATGGATTCTCACTAACCTGGCATTGTCGCGCTGTGCAGCTTCACGGGAGCGCCATGGAACGCTCTCCTCAGTGGAAGCGGCCGGATCGCCGAAGCCGGCGACGACGAAGCCGATGCTGCCGCCGACGCTGCTGCCGCGCAGCAAGATGATGGAGCGGCGGTGAATGCCGCCACTGTTGCCGCCATCGCGCCCGTGAATTCGCACTCCCGGCCCCAAATTTCCCTCTCCCTCTCGCGCACTGGCAGGCAAGGCGGATGATCTAAACGAGAACCTCAAGAACCCCACTAGACAGAATGTCTTGCGAATATGCTCATCCGTCACGGACATTCCGCCACCTGTCCCCAGAATATACGACGGCGATTCGAAAGACATGGCGCGAAACAGCATCACATTGGCCAGTGCGTTGACGCCACGTAGCCATTTCTTATCTCCTCTTTCTCTATATACATGTCAAAAGGAAGAACGAAAAAGATCCAAAGGTAATAACAAAGAGAAAAAACCATCTAAAACCTCAATCGATCAAAAAACCAGCCGAGCTGCTGGTTCTCTTCTCAGCGGGATGTTCTCCATGTCAATCCCTTCCATCTCGAGCTCGTTGGTCTCAAAATGTCTAAAGCCCCCAATCTCTACTGATAATCTAGTCGACGTTGATGGAGTCATTCCAGTATAAATGCCTGTGTCGCAAGAAAGAGAAAACAATCAGATCAAAGCTTTCCTAGGAAGAAACTTTGCAAAAGCTAGCTTACTCATTCCCGAATCCAACGCGTTGTCACCAAGGTCCTTGGTGACATGCAGCAAAAACGTCCCCGAAAGGATGGTGATGAATCCGCAAAGCTCGGTCACGATCGTGGATGGTGTTTGTCCATCCCAGTCCTGTGTGAGTAGCTATAATTGACACGAATCATTCATCAGGTCCAAAGGAGAGAACTGAGCGTGTTACCTTGAACATTATCACGCTCGCGAGGATTGTCAGCGCTGTGAACATGACGTAGTAGACTGGAGAAACGATGGCAGTGTTGAAAGTGTCGAGTGCCTGCCGGATCAACAACAAAAACAAGAGCAAAAGCGTTAACTTGTTGGATCGACATCAAAGCATTTGTTTGTACCTTGTTCAAGTAATTCATTTGCGTGACAACGCAAACAGCCACAAAGATTGCAAATATCCACGACTGGACATATATCAGCTGGTTCTGGCCTTGAAACGTTAGCTTCAAGGCAATTCCAAGAGCTTTCACGCTCATGACCTGCGCATCCAGTCCAAACTTTCAGAAAGAAAAACGACAAGAAATAAGCTCGAGTTTTCTCACCGAAAGAGAGCCCACCAGGGAGCAAATGCCAATGTAAACCATTACGTGAGTGTTTCCATACTGGGGAACAAAATGGATCTTCAGCATCATGACCAAAGACAACACGCACAGTGCATAGAGCATAAATCCTGGATACAAGAGAAAAAGAAAGCCAAGTTTATCAGTGGAAACTTAATCTGCTTACACACCTATGTGTATACAAACTTACACATTTTAATGCATTCGGGTCCAAAGTATACCAGGTTGAGTAGCAGCATCCCAAATCTCTGTCACTGAAGTCATTACTCGCTCCCCTGGTGCGTGGAGCACGATAGTGATCGATCCGACAATACAAAGAAGGCAGCCCAGCATCCCGAGTACATGGAGCTTCTCCTTGAGCACAAAATGCGCTAAGGTAGCACTACTCAAGCAAAAAAAACATAAGCTATCGTTTGCTGCCTGTGAAAATGATGTTTACCTCACGATGATGCTGAGAGCACCGAGAGGAGTCACAAGTATCGCTGGAGCAAATGCATAAGCAGCAAAGTTTGCGATTTCTCCCACAATCACTGCCATAACAAAGATTATTTATCTTTTCAATCAATCAATCTTTCACGAGCTCTTACTCGTCATCATCCCGACCCACCACAAAGGCTCATAGAGATACGAATACCCTCCAGAACCTGGGAAGAACAAAGAGATAGATTGAAACACTCGGAGAAACGAAAAAAAAAAATGTAAAGTCTTATGACCTGCTCTTACTCCGTCCGCAGCTGCGCGTTTCAATCCTTTCTTCTTGATGATAAAACTAGAGCCGATGAAGACACTGGAAGCTAGAGCGAGTCCAAATCCTTTGCGGTTGTCACTGGTGTCAAAACCAGCTGTATCTCCCATGATAAACAACTAGAACGCCATAGAAACGCATAGTCTAGATCTTCCAGCCCCATGTCACACCATATGCCATAGCCTAAAACTCCATCGCTGCAGCCGCATTTGCCCGAAAACACGTTTCCGCGATCATCTATCCGCCGGGATCTCGGATCGCCAGGAAATTCCTGGATCCATACCTGGAAATCGCGCTCTGGATTGCAAGGAGTAGCGATGGCGATGGCGGCAGCCACACGCACCTCTCGGAACCCTACGCCACATTTTCTCTAGGGCTGAATTGGCAATTTCAAAAGAGGTATATTCTCTTAAAAGAGAAATATTCCGCCCTCCAGTAAAGAACTAGGGCTAGGCGATCGAGAGAATGCAGCTCCGCCATGGACGATCGCTCATGCCGGGAGGCACTCAGATCGACAAGGTCACTGCTCTAGCGTGGAGCCCTAACAGGTGCGTGGATTCGTGATGTTTGCGCGACACGGATTTATTTCGATGCTTGGTTTTCTAGTCGGAGGCTCGCCGTCGCGACATTGAGCCGGATTGTGAATCTTTTCGATGAGAATGGTGAGCTCAAGGATCGGTTTGCTACAAAACCTGGTGATCCAAAGGTTAGAACGGCTCTTTCTAGCGAAAATTTCTCATGGACTCGTTCGTTTATTTTTTCTCGTCTATCTCCAGGGCTCGAAGCATTATGCAGTGACATCGATGGTGTTCTCTAGCGACAGCACAAAGCTAGCGATCGGCCAAAGTGACGAAATCGTTTTTATTTACAAGCTCGGGTACCTTTTGTCCCCAGTCATTCTTGGATTATTACCTTGGAACTTTGCTTGCAGACTGGACTGGGGTGAGAAAAAATCCATTTGTAACAAGTTTCAAGAGGCCTCGTCCGTTGTAAGCATAATCTGGCCTTTGTCTCGCCAACAGGAGATTTTCTATGGTCTCACTGAGGGAAAGGTGAAGGTATGCAACACAGTTCTTTCCTTCTCGATCTTGCATTGTTACAAACTTTAAGTTTCCAGATTGGACAATTGAGAACAAACAGGAGCAATACAGTGTATGCTCACGGAAGCGGTAGTGCGGTGGTCAGTCTGGCCTCTAGCACAGATGGTTTCTCATGCCTTGCTGGTCACTTAGACGGCTCCATATACAAGTAAGCATTGTTATTGTTCGATCCCGTCTTACTTTTCATGGCTCGAAGGTTCATGCTTGATAACTCAACTCCCGGCGTGTCATCCATGAAAATGATAAGCCATGGTATTTCTTCTGCCTGCTAGACAACTAAAACATAACGATGAAGTAAGTGTTTTGTTGTTCGGCCTGTGTTATATTATCTCCAGCCTTTGTGTGTCGCAGGTACAGTGCCACTGGTGATAGCTTGGGGAAAAGCCATAGCAGTTGCTGGGCCGGATTGTAAGGTGAAGTTCCCTCAACATTCTTTTTTTACTGGTAGTGTCCTTACCTTCTTTGTAGGTTACTTTGTATGACTCAAATGGAGTTGTCAGCCAGAATTTCGAATATAGCGGAAAGGTTTGGCATTTTCGAAGAAAAATTCAGTGAACCACTTTCTGCTCAGGTTTCTCATGAGTTTTGCTCGGGATCATTCCATCCCAGTGGAGATACGCTTGCCTTGGGACACTTTGGCGGCTTCAAAATCTTCAGGTGCTTCAAATTGATCCGGGTTTTGTCCATGGTTTGACGAGACGAATGTGTAGCTGGGATCAATCCGGCCGATGGAATCTTATTCTGGACAACGTTGTGGAGAACCTGTATACTGTATCAGCCTTAACGTGGAATCCAGACGGCAGGTCTGTTCTAGTTTTCTACTGGATAGCGTTTATATCCTCCGGAAGTTTTTGCAGTCAGCTTGCTGTCGGGACATTGTGTGGGAAGCTAGATGTTTTTGATTTATGCATGCGCAGGCAACGGTATCTTGGAAAATTTGAACTCAGATATATTACGAAGAGTCAGGTAACGGCGCATCTACATTCTTTGTAGTTAACTTGGCATTGCCTACGATTGTTACAGGTTCTCATAACGAGATTGTCTGTCGGAATCAAGACGGTTATTGGCTCGCAATTTGGACTCGAAATTACAAAAATTAACATCTACAACGAGCAGGTTTGCGTTGCAATGCAATCGTCTCATCTCTTATAGTTTTTGCAGTATCTCGTGGCACATACCTCGGGGACTATTATCTTAGGAAATTTTGAAACTGGAAAGATATCTGAGGTAAGTGTTACTTTTCACTGAATGTCCACCGTAAAGTCGAACTCTTACAGATATCATGGCACACTAGTGGAAATGAAAAGTTTTTGCTCGAGCATCCATTTGCATGTATTATGTATGATGCGGGAGAGGTGGTTGTTATCGAATATGGTTTTAACGAAGTGTTAGGGACCTGTCGAACTGAGCATTTCGACCCATCGTTAATCAGCTTATCCATCACGGGCTCTACGATCACGGGAAAAGACGAAATAAAAAGGATTGCGTACCTTATAGACATTCAAACTATTCGAGTGCTAGATCTTTTGAGGTTAGCAGAATTTGACTATACAGCGCTGCTGAAATTTAAGTTTTCAGTGGGTTAACAGTTGGGACAGCAAACCACACCTGTAAAATTGAGTGGCTCGCTTTGAATCCACAGTCTACGTACCTGCTGTTCCGTGATGCGAAACGCCAACTTCATCTGTTTAATATAAGCTCGGAGGTGAACTTTGACTTTTAAAGATGAACTTTACCAACTTTTGACACTTTCAGGAGCGCACTATGTTGCTAAACCTGTGTACATTTGTACAATGGGTTCCTGGCAGTGATGTAATAGTCGCTCAGGTATGATATTAGTTCTTTTCTTTTCTTTCTATTTCTGTTGAACAACCCACTGCAGAACCAAAACAATCTTTACGTGTGGTACACTATAAAAAACCCGGAGCAAGCTACCATTTTTCAAATCAAGGTATGTTCATTTCCCTACATACTGTTATCTAGCTGTGACTGCTCCACGCAGGGGGAAGTTACGGGAATCGAGAGAGGGCAAGAGCGAACTGAAGTGATTGTGAGTGAAGGCATAAACACGGTATCACCATGTTTGCAATTTTTTCACGCAACTCTGACTTGATAACAACACATGTATCCAGGTAACGTATGTCTTGGACGAGGCTCTTATCGAATTTGGCGTGGCTTTAGAATGTCTGGACTATGGCCGTGCGGTCTCAATTCTCGAGTCGCTGGAATTTACTGCTGAGATTGAAGCCATGTGGAAACAGGTGTTGTTTTTCTTTTCTGCTTTTCTAATTTCTATGAGACTGTATTCTGTTGTATCAGCTGGCGGAAAAGTCGTTTGAAAACATGGAGTTAGCATTTGCTGAAAGGTGCTATGCAGCTCTAGGTGATGTATCCAAGGCTCGCTATCTTCACAAGGTAGCACTTCCTAGTTCTTGTTGCTGTCCGTAAACTTGCGTGCAGGTCAATAAGCTGATTGAGGCTAGCCCTCCCGATCAAGCTGCAGGAGCTGACAATTATCTCGTGAAGGCAAAGCTTGCAGTTCTTCAGCATCAGTGGAAGGTGTGTATCTCTCCGTTTGTGCAGAGAACTAAATTGGTTGTGCTTCTCCATCAGATAGCTGAAGGTATTCTGCTGGACCATGGGTCCATTGCAGAGTCCATACAAATGTATACAGAGTGTCACAGGTATCATTTTTTTTCTCTCTCTCTCATTATGTGCGTAGCTGATCTTGTCATTTAGATGGAAAGAAGCAATAGCTGTTGCTAAAAGTCAGACCTACGCAGGTTGTGAAGAGCTTCAGGATCGTTACTTTAAATGGCTCTTGCAGACGAACCAGGTCCGTGATTTATTTGAGGATGCACAGTAACACTTTTAAACAGGACGAGGAAGCAGGGAAGGTGAAAGAAACGGAAGGTGATGTCTTAGGCGCGATTGACTTGTTCTTGGATGGAGGTCTTCCTGGCTGTGCTGCAGAGTGTGTTCAACGTCACTCTACGTACCAGTTCCAGGTCTTTCGTACCCGTGCCTTTCCAAAGTTTCTAAACTTTTTCGACAGAGTGACACACTGGAACGCATTGCAGAAGCGCTCGTTCGAGCTAACATGTTTGAAGAGGTATCCTACTCTAATATGCTGCTTCCGGAATGTACAATATCGTATTTGAATAGGCAGGCAAGTTTTTGGAGCTGCTGCATCAATTTTCTAGAGCCAAAGATGCCTACGTCAAAGGCCATTCATATAGCTGTGCAATTGATCTTGCGCGACGACATTTTCCGAGTGAAGCAGCTCGCCTAGAAGAAGAATGGGGGGACTGGTTGGTTTCAAAACGGCAGGAAAGTCGTTGTTTTACTTTTTTCGTGCACATGTGACAGCGTTGTACTTTAACAGGTTGATGCAGCAATCAGTCACTTTATTGAAGCGGGTTGTGGCAGGAAAGCCATCGAATCTGCACTTTCTGCTTCACAGTGGCAACGAGCCGTATATATTGTGGAGACACAAGATCCTAAAGTAAGAATTTTTAGTTCTTGAAGATCCGATTGTCTTTGCAGGTCTCTTTCCCTTTCTACCAGAGACTTGCAGAACATTTTGAGTCGACGAAGCAGTTTGCCGAAGCAGAGAAATTCTTTATACAAGCGAAACTCTCGCAAAGAGCAATTGAAATGTATTTACGATGCGGCAGGCTGCAAGAAGCGAACAAGGTTGAAAAGGTTTAAATATTGAAAATAAGTGTGTGTTATTTGTGAAGGTTTCCTCCAAGTACTTATCAAGTACAGAAGCATCCGCATTATATCTCGAATGGGCTGGCCGCTTGGAGGCTGCGGGCGAGCTTAAAGAAGCCGAAAATCTCTACGTACACGCTTCTGAATATGACATGGCAATCAACATCTACAAGAAAGCACGGCTCTTCGATGATATGCTGTTGTTGGTATCGACCTACCGTAAGGTGCGTTGCTTGTGTAACTTTTAATTTCTGTGCTTATACCGTTGTTTCTGCGCCGTTGTCTTCTGTAGGATTCCCTCAATGAAACTCATCTTTATCTTGCGGAACAGCTTGAAAAGGAAGGTAATGCAAGATTTCGTCTTTATTTCTTCTTCCTTCTTTATTACTTACAACACCGTGGAGCTCTGATGCAGGTTCGTACTTAGAAGCTGAGAGGCATTACCTGGAAGCTCAAGATTGGAAGACCTGTGTAAAGGTAATATTAAGCTTCGCACTTCTTCGGTAGTTTTCAAAGTTGAGATGTTTGTTATACAGATGTTTAGTCAGCACGGAATGTGGGAGGACGCAATGCGTGTTGCAAAGCAGTTTGGTGGAATGCAAGGAGCCAAACAGGTATCTGAAACTTGTTTTTATACATGGAGCTGATCACTTTCACCACCAGGTTGCTTATGCGTGGGCAGTGTCACTTGGTGGAGAAGCTGGGGCAAATTTACTTTCAAAGCTGGGACTTGTTGAACAGGCTCTCGACTATGCTCTAGACTCGTGTGCATTTGATCACGCTTTTGATCTATGTCGTTCTTCCATCAAGAGCAAACTTCCAGAGGTACATGAAGCATGTGCATGAAAAGGATGACAGAGAGTTTTTTACATGTATAGGTGCACCTAAGATTTGCTATGTCCCTTGAAGACGAAGGACGCTTCGGAGAGGCTGAAGACCAATTTATTAAAGCTGGAAGACCAAGAGAAGCTATCGACATGTATTTGCATCAGCAAGATTGGCAGGCAGCCCTTCGTGTTGCAGATCTCTGTGTGCCGGCAGCAATATCCGATGTCCGAGTAAGAATTTCTTGGTGTAATGAACTGAGCTAAGCCGTTAGTTACAGGTAGCGCAAGCGGAACACCTTCTGAGTAAAGACGAGACATCAAAGGCGGAAACACTCTTCTTGAAGGTGGCAACCTGATTTTTATCAGACTTTCAAATATCAGGTTGTTATTTTGCAGGCCAAGAAGCCTGAACGTGCTATAAACATGTACAAAGATAAAATGCGATGGGAAGATGCCATTCGGGTTGCTCAGGCACATCTTCCTATAGCCGTCTCGGACATCCATCATGAAATGGCGGCATATCTGCATAACCATTCAGAAAGTCTGGAAGCTATCCTTATGCGGGCGAAAACGATGGAAAACAATCGAAACTACTCGGAAGCTATAGATTTTTACCTTCAAGTCGATAGAAGGCACGTGACAGACTTTCCGGAGCTCCAAAAGGTTCTGCTGTTTTGTTTTCTTTTGTGACTTGCTGACAGTGTGAGCTCAGATATGGGAGAAGGCCGTGACATTGGCCCAAGCATCTGTGCAGACGCGCTTGCCAGAAGTTGTAGGTACTATTGCTCACAAGATGACTAGTATGGGAAAATACGAAGAAGCAGTGAAGCTCTACGAGGACATCGACTTTCATAGAGAGGTTCCTTTAAACTGCACTTTGACTTTTTACTACACCGTCGCATGTTTTTATCTGTTTCAGGCAGTGGACATGTGTATAACTTTTGGCCTCTGGGACCAGGCAAGAAAAGTCGCTGAGTCTGACCCACGTCTTCAGCAGGTAATCATAGTTGGGATCATGTTTTTTACTGAAATGTGCGAGAATCAGTTTGTGGATGAGCAGTATAAAGAGCATTTGATGAAAAAAGGAGAAGCAGAACAACTAGCAGAGATAGGAAATGTCTCAGAAGCGGTTGAACTTTACATCCAACAGTCAAACTGGCAAAAGGTTAAAAAAAAAAGCATTCTTACTCCTAGAAAAGCATCTCTGCTGATACGCCACTGAAGGTTCATGAGCTTTCGAGCCTTCTTGGACCCGATTCGGAAAGAGAATCCTCGTTCAGGCATGCAAAACAGTGTCTGCAAGATATGAAGGTCAACACCCGAACTATATTGATTGTTCTATGAGATGCCACCATTAACTCGGACCTGTGCAGCTGTCCGAGGCTGTTTCAGTTTTAGCACAGTATGGTGTCCCAATGACCATTGACGCGTACGAATTTTGCTGCTCGCTTGCCTACCAAGTATTGGGGTCAAACGAGGGCCTCGTTGAGGTAGATTTACTTAGTTTTGTTTGCTTTATATTCTCACAATGAACACTTTGCAGAAAATGCGCGACATTCTCTTCCAACTGTTTTCTAATATTTCACAAACTATGACTGCCACTGTTTGTCCGAGTAAGTGGAAGTTGAGAGCCTTTCTTAATTCTGACCTGCGCTTTGTTTTTTCAGTACTAATGGAGATCGAGAAGCTATTGTACATAACAAACTATCTTGCGTTACGACAAACAGCTGAAACACAGGTTTTCTCAATTTACTATCCGTTTGGAAACTACTAATCTAATGAACAGGACCTTCCTGAGATTACGGCCAAGCTTAGTGTTTCGCTGCTGCGTTACATTGATGTCATATCAGCTGATGAAGCGTTTTACCAAGCTGGAATCGCTTGCAAAAAGGTGTTTCTATGATTTCATCTTGTGTTGACGTTGCGTGATTCCTTTCAGGTTGGTTGGCAAAACATGGCATTCGTTTATCTCAATCACTACCTTGACATAGCGGAATCTATCGAGCTTCAGACCGGGGAATGTGCATTTGACACGTCTGGCTTGGATACGAGTGATATCCCTCGATCATTCCCTGTTCCTCAAAAGCACTACTTGGAAGGTAAATGCAGTCTCGCATTCTCTTCTAGAAGGAACTGATATTGTCCTTTTCTTCCTGGATCATCTTTAGAGAATCAACGGGAACAAGTTCGAGACTGGTTGATCCAACTAAGCATGGACCAACAGGTGCGTCCTTTTGCCACAGCATATCTATCAAACACAACTCTCTTTTGTCGCAGGTAGAACCCGTTCTTCCAACGAGATCCTGCGATAGATGTAGCGGCGAAATATACGAAGCAAGCCTCACCTGTTTCTATTGCAAAGTAAGCTGGTAGTCAACATCTTTGGAGGCGTTTAACACTCTCGTTTCTTTGCAGCTTGAAAGCAAGCCGTGCTGTGTAACAGGCTACCCCGTGCTGCAACACTCACAGTCTTGCAAGTACTGTGAGATGCCTGCCAACAGAAGCGATTGGAACAACTACATTCAACGCTTTAAAACGTGTCCGTGGTGCCGAGAGAAGCAACACACGTAGCTTTCCCAGGTACGAAGAAGTTTAATACTTAGTGCGCGCGTCATACAAGCTCTTGTTAAGCAGTTAGTCTAGTTCTAGTCCCTCTCAGTTTACTCTGCTGGGTCCCTTGCTCCACTCACTGTAAGTCGAGTTGATGTGATCATCTTCCAACCTCTCTAGTAAACTGTGAGTGATCGCGAGCGATTTAATTTTGCCGGTCAAAGCAAGCAAGCAGAAAGAGAAAGCATAGTGGCGACTGTTCTCTCAAGAATCACCAAACAGCCAGCTTTTCTTTGCATTGTCTGTCTATCTAATATGTAGGTGGTGGTTTGGTCTTTCCCCTCATCCTTCTCGAGTCGCCTCCACTAGCCTAGGATTCAAATCCCCGCTGCCTTGGAGCCTTGCGCTTGTTGCCAGCGGAGAGCTTTCATTCCAGTCAAAAGGCGAGAGCCTTTTGCTCGCGGATTTAAGTCGAGAGGGAGCGAGACTTTTTCTCAGTCAGTTGATCGGTTCATCGTAAGAGAGCTTGCATTTTTGCAATGGCAGCGCTTGCATTCGTCTTCACCAGCGTCCTGGTTGCTCTTGTTTGCATTGTCGACGGCCACCCGCTGAAGCTCGTCCCCGACTACTATGCCTCGACTTGTCCTGAAGCCGAGGCCATCGTTAGAGCTGTCGTGGAGAAGGCAGTGATCAGGGAGGCCAGGAACGCGGCGTCGCTGCTAAGGCTACACTTCCACGACTGTTTCGTCAATGTAAGTTGGACGCTGCTCTTTCTTTCTTCCGGCGCTAATGCTCTCCTTTGCAGGGCTGTGATGGATCTGTTCTGCTGGACGACACTCCAACTTTCACCGGAGAGAAGATGGCAGCCCCCAACAATGGCTCCATTCGAGCTCTCGACGTGGTGGACGAGATCAAAGCCGAGCTCGAGAGCCATTGTCACGGAGTAGTGTCGTGTGCTGATGTGTTGGCGATCGCAGCCAGGGACTCCGTCGTCGTGGTAAGTAAGCAAGAAGTAATTTTCTTATGCTTCATGAATAACACGCCTCATTGTTTTCTTTTGTTTTTCCTTCTCTAGAGCGGTGGTCCTTTCTACGAAGTTCTTCTTGGAAGACGGGATAGCTTAACTGCCAGCCAAGCCGCTGCCAACAATTCGATCCCACCTCCCACTTCCAACATCACGGGATTGATCTCGAGCTTCAGGGCCGTGGGATTATCCGTGCTCGATCTAGTCGTTCTCTCTGGTAAGCTTGTCCAGCAGCGAGTAAAGAGCTAAACGCATTGAAACTTTCATCCAGGCGCTCACACAATCGGCCGAGCTCGTTGCACCAACGTCGTCCAGCGTCTCTACAACCAGAGTGGAACGTTTCGTGCCGATCCAACCATCGAGGACGACTTCCTGGGATATCTCGTGGAGCTGTGCCCGCAGCGAGGCAATCCAAACACTCTCGCCAACCTCGACTTCGTGAGCCCGATCTACTTCGACAATCACTACTTCCGGAACCTCCAGTACTTCAAGGGCCTGCTCAACTCGGACGAGGTTCTCTTCACCACTTCCAAGGAGACGAAAGAGCTCGTCAACCTCTTTAGCGACAACAAGGAGGCCTTCTTCAAGCACTTCCCAGACTCGATGATCCGGATGGGAAACATCAGCCCTCTCACTGGCGATCGCGGCGAGGTGAGATTCAATTGCCGATACACCAACAGCGGGCAGTAAGTAAGTTCACGGCGTAAGCGAGAAAAATTCCAGGGAAAAATTCCATCTTTTTTCAGTGTTCTTTGCGGTTTGTATCTTTCGTGATTGTGTTCTTCCAAGCAATAAGCTGTTGCATATAAAAAAACGCTTTTTTCTTGATTTTCGAAGGAAAAAAGAGCTCGTGGATCACGAAAGATCTGGAGAAATTCTCTGGAGACCACCAAAGTAGATGTTCGAAAGCAGTAGATTCAAGCCCGGATCGCGAGCTCGCAACTCAAGCCCGGATCTCGCCGCGAAAACTCCACTCTCCACATCGTGTAGATTCTTGGAAGCGCTCACAACACTACACCAGGCAACGTAGTCCGGCACCATGGGCATCGTCGCAAGCAAGCTCGTCGCGAGCTGGAGCTGCCCGGATCGCCCAAGAACATCCACCATGCAAGAGTAGTGATCCACGCTTAGAGGGACTCCAAAATCCATAGCCATGGCGACGAGGTAGTCGCGGCTCTGATCCACGAGACCCAAGTGGCTGCAAGCCGTGAGGAGGACGAGGAAGGTGATGGAATTCACCGGCAATCCATCCAGGATCAATCGCTGGAAGCTCACGATCGCGGTCATGGCGCTGCTGGAGAGCGCGAAGGCCGCCATGATCGCGTTCCAGGACACGATCGTGTGCTGTGGCATTCGATCGAAGACGCGCTTGGCCGCGAGGAGATCCATCCTCCTCGCTAGCGATCCCAGCATTGCCGTCCAGGACACCACATTCCTCTCGGGCATTCGATCAAAGAGATCGAAGAGATCCAGCGAGAGGTTTCCAGTGGAACGATGGTCGTCGTGATGATCCAGGAGCGCTGTCAGCGACACGACGCTCCACTGCGGCATCTTGGAGAATGCGATCTGGGCGGCCGCGAATTCGCTGCTTCCAGCCACGATCGTCGTCCAGGCCATGAGATCTCTCCCCGGCATCGCATCGAAGAACTCCTTGGCTGCCACGAAGAGGCCTAGCCTCGCACTGGCTTGGATCATCGCTGTCCACGCCACGAGATCGCGCAGAGGGATGCGATCAAACACCGCGCGGGCGCCCTCCAGGGAGCTCCAATTCGCGGCGATCATCGCATTCCACGAGATCTTGTCGCGCTCCTCCATCAGGTCGAAGATCACGCGCCCCTGATCGCCGCCCAGGACCTGGAGCACCGATGTTGCGCTCACGCGGTCGTGGTATGGCGATCGCTGGAAAAACCTCTGGGCGGAGGAGGGATCGCTGGCGAGGGCGAATCCGGCGAGGAGAGAACACCAGGAGATCACGTCGCGCTTGGGCATGGCCAAGAAAACTTCAGTGGATTCTTGCAAATGCCCACTCTGAGCATACGCTGCTATTAGCGTGTTCCAGGAGATCAAATTCCACTCGGGCATTCTACCAAGAACTTCCTCCGCTAGGGATGGATTGGAGTAGTGCGAGTAGATCTGTATCATGCTCGTCCATGAGACAGAGCTCCTCAGACTCATGCTATAGAAGATCTCCTCCGCGGCCGCCAATTGCCCATTCGTGGCGTACGCCCACGCCAGGATGTTCCACGAGAAATCATTGGGCTGCTCGACCATGCCATCGAACACCGCGCGGGCCTCGCGAATCCTGCCACATTTTCCATACATCTCCACCAGCAGATTGGCCAGGAATCGATTCCGCCGGTGCTGGCTCTGCTCGATCTGGGCGTGAATCCACCGCGCCTGCTCCAAATCCTGGCCTACAGACCTCACAATCCTGGCGATGTCATCCTGCTCCTGGAGAATCAACGCCCGGGAAGCCGATCGCCGCATCTCCGCCCCATCGCACGCTAGAGCCCTAATCGAGAGGAGAGAGAAGAACAAAGAATCTCTACAGTAGAATATGCTTTGGTCAAAGTCGACCGTACGGACTGACAGACACCGTAGGATGTGCCCGAGGCCCGGGAGCCGTTGGATAGAGATCTGGGTGGGAATTTTAAACAGGAGATAGACTAAAAAACCCTAGCTCGCCAGCCGGCCATGGCTCTAACAAGGAATCGGTGCATTTATTTCTTCTTCATTCGCCCTCTTTCCTCCTGGATCGATGGATCCATCTTGTCTCATTCTCTAGGCATTGAATTCTTGTGGGGACTACTAGCGATTGATGCGAGGAAAGGGGCCGCGGAGTGGAATGCCGGATGGACGTGGATTGATGCCAACGCTTCAATCGTCTCGTGTGTTTGTCCTGGCGCTATCGCTCGGAGCCGATTTCCCCGCGGCGATGCTGCCGACAAAGCGACTCCGACGCGCAGGATGATCGATCCAATCCATCAGTTCCGTCGGCCGGCGATCAAACAGGGTCTGGGTAGGAGAAGGGAATCCGGCAATCATTGGCGGCACGTTATCTTTTCGATCGCGCTATAAAATGGGGCTGATAATCCTATCATTCCAGAAGGATTGACTGATCGGCCTGATGGTCGATCGATACAGCGGATTACCGGGTGGAGCAATGCCGCTGCCCTGGATCTCGACGGCATTGCTCGTGCTCTTGGCCGGGTATGCGAAATATGTGACCAGCTCGAAAGAATGCGACCGCGTCCACTATCTTCCAGGGAGTGACGCCAATCTCTACCACTTCGATCAGTACGCCGGCTATGTGACCGTGAATCAAAGCGCTGGGAGAGCTCTCTTCTACTGGTTCACCCAGGCCACGCACGATCCGGCGTCCAAGCCGCTTGTTCTATGGCTTAATGGAGGTAGGCTAGTAGAAGTTTTTTTTCATAGTCTTTCTTTACAATATTTTGTTCTTCACAGGTCCCGGTTGCTCCTCGATCGCGTATGGCGCTATGCAAGAGCTTGGGCCATATCGCATTACCAAGTCGGGACTCTCCCACAACAAATTTTCCTGGAACAGGGGTAAGATTAAGAAGCATAGTTAAGATTGCTTGAGCTCTTTTCTTGTGTTTTATCCTTTGCTTGCAGTCGCGAATGTCTTGTTCTTGGAGTCTCCCGCAGGAGTTGGCTTCTCTTACTCCAATACGAGCAGCGATTTGAAATTTCCAGGAGATAAGAACACAGGTACTTGTTGTCCTTTTTTCAGGACTGGATTCTCAATCTACTGTACAGCCAGGGACTCTTATATTTTTCTTGAGAGATGGTTAGAGCGGTTTCCCGAGTACAAGAAGAGAGATTTCTACATCACTGGTGAAAGTTATGCTGGTAAGCTCGCGGCTGGCTTCAAGTTTGTACAATTTTACTCATTTTTCCAAACAGGACATTACGTTCCTCAGCTTGCAAATGTCATATACAACAAGAACAAGAAGAAAGAAAATCCAGATATAAATCTCAAAGGCTTCATGGTTAGTCTTTGTCCAAAGAATTCAAATCCTCCGTATTGATGAGATCTTTTTTTATCCAGGTTGGAAATGCACTGCTGGATCACGAGAAAGACAGAATTGGCAGAGTGGACTTCTGGTGGTCGCACGCTCTCATTTCCCACAACACGTACCGTTCCATCGTCCGCTACTGTAATCTCAAAGGCGAGACAAACGGGACTCAAGACCAATGCAGCAAAATCGTGCTGTATGCCTACCAGCACGAGTTCGGTACCATGGATCGCTACAACATCTATGCTCCGGTGTGCCTTCGCGCCAGTTCTTCTCAGAGAACGTTCACACGGTTCTTTAGTGATCCCGTAAGTCCTCAAATTTATATATCCTACTTGATGAAAACATATGGCATAGCAGGTGTCGAGAGTACACCAATACAGCGGGTATGATCCTTGTGGGGATGACTACGTTGAGGTCTACTTCAACAGACCGGACGTCCAACAAGCTCTCCATGCCAACGTAACAGGCATTCCTTACAACTGGACGGGATGCAGGTTCCAACTTAGTTGATTGCTTTGTACCGATCTTATCTTTGTGTTGCAGCGAAACGATTAACACCAACTGGCAAGATTCGGATGAGACAATGCTGCCGATTTATAGAAAGCTGATCAAAGCCGGACTAAGAATCTGGGTATACAGGTAATTATTCGTCGGCTACTTGAGGCACTCCTTTTATTCTAACCGTGACTGGGAACAGTGGAGACGTCGACTCGGTTGTTCCAGTGACTTCTTCACGATACTCGGTTGAGAAACTCAAGCTTAACACAACTAAACCGTGGTATCCATGGTACCGAAACAAACAGGTAGCATCAAATTTGCCTTGGACCTCCTTCATATCTGGTATGTCTCTTCACCAGGTTGGTGGATACACGGAAATTTACGATGGGCTGGCATTTGTGACGGTCCGAGGTGCTGGCCATGAGGTACCAATGTTCCAACCCGGCCGCGCCTTCACGCTCATCAAATCCTTCCTGGCTGGAAAGCCAATGCCATCCGGATAGTAAGCTAGCTGCATTCTTTCTTTCCTTCTTTGGTTTTATTTTATAACCAAACTGTGATAGCTCAAAATCTCACAAAGTGAGAGAATGAATTGACAGGCGACACTTTTACCAAGTTATCTTTTGTTGAGTTCGTTATTTATTGCTCTACCAGATCGGTCCATCCATAGAGGAAGAACGAGATGCGATGATTTGGCAGCCAAGACGTGATTTGGGAACACCAGAAGTAAAGTTTCCTTTTTTTTCTCAAGTGAAACTCTTCAGTCTTTGTGAGCCTGAACGCCAGGTTGAGTATAGCGTTCTCTTGGTCGAATGGTTCTGGCAACTTCTGGTAGAGCTCCTCATCCTGAAAGATTGTAAGAAAAATAATCCAATAACAAAGCAAGATATTATACCATGAAGATTACGTGACAAGTCAAGCATGCAACAAATCAGTCAAGAAAAGAGCGAAGAGGTTAGAAGCAAGAAAGTTTCTAACCTTCCAGCTTTGATCTTGTCAGGAATTTGGATCAACTTCTTGCTGCAACAGCTCATGGCTCCATTTCTTAACACTTCTGACATTGATAGCTACTTTTTTATGGCTGTTTTACTATTAATATTAAATCACAATTACAATAACATTTTACAAATAGTGCAAATATAATTATAACTGTGCTTAGGGATTAGTTAATATTCAACTTTAAACCTGGGAACCAAGCTTAATAACAGTAATAATTAATATCTTTAGTTTTGAGATGGCATTCATATACTGTTTACAAGGTCTTGTAATGCCCCCCAAGAAGCATGAGACAAATGGATTCAAATATGCTACAGTGAAACTTCTGAAGTGTAGTTATATATTTTAAATTGTTATTCATGCTAGTTATAATTCAAAGTGTTGGTGAAGATTTCCAACAGCACTTCTTGTTTGGCAAGTGTTTTCAGACTAACTTGCCCTCCATAAGGGCTCTGAAGTGTGGTGTTTCTATGTTCAAGATCAAGGGAGTTTGAGTTTTTTTGCAACCTTCTTTAGACTCTGTAGACACTCATTTGCAACTTGCAATCCCAATAATTTGTGTGGCATTTAAGTTTCAGTCCACTTGACTAGGAAGTGGTTGCATGGTTCTTTAGAGAAATGTCCCTCAATGAAGTTCACCACTTAAGAAATGAGCCACATTTGTTATTGCTCGTGCTACCTTCCAAATCTCATGCTGCAACGCGTTCCAGCTAGCCTTGTTGTTGATACTCATTGCAGCAGCTAGTGCGTCACAAACACCCGGAAATAACTGCGAATTGTAGTGATTCTTACCTGATGGCCCATATATCTGTCAACAACCCGGATCATTAATAGTCAAGCTAGACATTCTGAATACGTACAACATGCTTATACCAGGAAGTCCCGGTCAGTCCACTAGGATCCAAGAACGATCGCTCGGCCAGAAGCATCCGATCATTCAAGGACCTCAGCTTAGACAAGGTTTGAGCATCAGTGAGTACCTGATGAAGCCAGAAAATCTTAGGAAAAAAAAAAAAAAAAGAAATTAGTAACCTTCATTTGAATCATTTCTGCTCCCAATTGAGCAGCAGCTGCTCGAAGTTTTGATATCGCAGGAAATAAGGGATTTGCTGTGATGTTTTCTGATGCTTGCAGCAAATTCTTTTGCAATGCCATTGCACCCGCCTATTGACACCAGATCGGTCATTCAGAAGAAAAGACGTCAAATATCACCTCCAGCTCGTCGGCATAGTTAGCATAGTTGAAGGATAAAACAGCATCACCAGCAAGATGGATTGCAAGGAGGCCCCATATTCCAGAAACTGTTGATTTCATCATAAATCTCATGCCTGAAAAATGGGATACCTTGTTATTACCTGCAACGTGCCGGTGAAACATGGGATCTCCAAAGCGTTCCATCCAGTTGTAATCATCATACAGTGAATGATACATAGGGTAAACTGCATCACACACAGTTATTACCAAAAAAGTGTAATCTCCCCATATTTACGAGTTTGATATCGGATGTCACATGAAGGAATACCAGCATGATGCAAGAATGCCGAGAAATCAGATCCACTACCCAGCCTTCCAATCTGAAAAAAGCTCATGTTAGTTTGATCGCATGCTGAAATCAAGCCTCACGTTAGGAGTACCATGGCCGTTCAATGCAGACCAAGCTTCATATACTGTCCCGTATACTGAATTTGGATCCTTCACCTAGAACAAGGACGAAATTGATATTACTTGATTAAAAATCCAGAGGATTGGAACCTTCTTGGTGACTTCCAGCAGTATATTGTCCAGCTGGGGGGTCGCACGTCCATCAAAATTAGGACCACCAACTGCTGAGTCGACGTTAAGGTAAGCAACTGCTCTAGAAGCCAATAAATTGAGATTCCTCTCAACCCATTCGGATGACCCTATCTGGAGAACAGGGGACCGGAATCAGACTGCACAAATAAGTGTGAGAGGCACTCACCAAGCCAAACTCTTCCGCATCCCAGCTACAGAAAATAATTGTTCGCCTCGGTCGCCACCCGAGGCTCAGCAAGTTTCCGAATCCTCGTGCAATCTATAAATGCAGGGGCTCAGACTGAACTACACGATGCTAAACATTACTTCAAGAAGACATGCAGTGCCACTGTTGGGGTCGGCTGCTCCAAATGTCCATGCATCTCGATGGTTTCCGAGCAAAATATACCTTGAACATTCAATTATAGCGCCCCAAAAGAATCTGAAGTCTTAGATTACTTACCTGTCTGGCTCTTCAGACCCTGTAATCATCCCTATAACATTTCTGATTGGAGCCATCGTCAAATTCCCCTGATCAGCAGCAAGATGTTGGACTTAAAACAGAAGGTAGAAAGAAGACTCACTTCATAGCTCAACTTGACTTTAGCAGGACCCCTCCCAAGTCGGTATGAGGACAGTTGTAGTCCCCCCTGCCACTCTTGTGGAGCAACCTTCCCTGTTAGTGCTTCCAGTATTGGTAGCGCATCCTGAGCCGAAACTGGCAACACAGGTATCTTAGGAAACTGCACTTGGGAGATTTCCAGCCTTTCAGCATCCGGAACACTGGGCCATCCAGGAGTAAGAGGATCACCATTAGTCAAAAACAAGGAACCTCGTTGAACACCAGATGGGGGCAACCACTGTGAAGAAGGATAGTAACCTTGACTTCCGTTCCCTGCATAGTCGAAAGGATCCGAGTAGGTTATGGCAGCAGCTGCACCTGCTGCTGCTGCATTTGCAGCTATATCCCCTCGGAAGATCTTCCCGATCCTTGCAATGACCACTGTACCAGTTACATTGACTCCTTCATCCTTCAAAGTGAGAAAATCCTCTTCTCGACCATAGTTTACATAAACAACTTCACTGCTGATGGTACCAGAAGGTGAATAAGCGAAGAAAGTTGGAATCACCTTCGGATTAGTGCTGTAAGGGTCGCCCTCGACTGCCTCTTCTTTCAAAGTGAAGTCCTTCAAGGAACCATCAGGAAGGTGCAACGATAGAGATCTTCGGATCGGATAAGAGAGGAGCACACTGTAATCAGAGTAATGAGCCACAATCCCGGAAGCTTCAAAATGATCAAAAACGTATTTTGCGGTAGCGAGGTCCTCTGCCGTGCCGGCTACATGTGGCTCCAACGTAAGCTCCTTAAGAAACTTACTGATTGTATTGTTAGAAAGACCAGATAGGAATTCATCCTCCAACTTGTCCAAAGTGAAGCCCGAATCTTTCACTCCTGTAGACGAGAAGAAAGCAAAAGCAAGCAGGACCAGTGACAACAAGCAGCATCTGCATCTGCTCACGCTTGCCATACTTCTGGTTAATCGCACCTCCTGCTATATCAGATCCGCAAGAGCACGGACTACTCCCATCGCATCTCGACAGATCCTTCCTGCAATAAAATTATAGCATGCCAATAAGTTCACAACCAACACAAAGGAAATCGGCTTTGTACTTGAAGCACTGTTCAGAATTAGGATGCCATTCATTGGGAAGATGCTCCTTCACGTGAACAAGATTAAAAAATAATGCACAATAGTATATATCAACAGGACCCAAAAAAATCAGCACGTGCAACAAAGCAAAGGAACGATCACGTGAATAAAAACCAAGGTGCAGACAATTGTGTGTGATTTTATATGGCTAAAGACAAGCATTTTTATTTCGTCATTGAAGAATCCTTTGCAGCTGCCAACTTCTTCAACACTCGGCTTCCAGAATTTTCTTGATGGAATGAAGATCATTCCGCTCATTGTCTGGTCTATTTACTCCAGACCTAAAACACAGAGTGGTTATTGGAAAATGTTAGGCCATGAAAAGTGAGCTGTTAGGCCCGGACGACCTTTGACTTTCTCTATCCCTGGGACCTTTGTGGAGACGAATGGCAGAGAGAAATCTTCTGTTGATCGTGGAAGAAACTTTCCTGCTTCTAACCTCTTTGTCTTTCCTTGACCATCTCAGGACTCAAGAATCTTCGCAGTTTCTTTCAATCGTCAGGACAAGGAGCTCTGTCATATGGCATTTCACGATCTTCCGTGCTTTTTGTGAGCACTAAAAGTACCCATTAAGATAGCCATTAAATATAATCCGTCCATTCAAAATCTAACAGTTTGTGTGAGCCTAAGCACAAAAGTGCTCGGTGTCGCAAAAAACAATGAACATAAAGACAAGAAAAAGGAAACTTCACCTCTTGATGTCTCGCTTGCCAAATCATTGCAAAACATGGGATGCGTCTGGCTTGTGGATGGACACCTTCACCTGCTAGAACGAACTCAACAAAGTTACCTTGGTAATTGTCTTGTCAATTCATTCTCTCACTTTGTCAGATTCTGAGCTGTCACAACCAAAGAAGGAAAGCAGCTAGCTTACACTCAGAATGGCATTGGCTTTCCAGCCAGGAAGGATTTTATGAGCTTGAAGGTACAGTCGGGTTGGAACATTGGTACCGCATGGCCAACAGCTCGGACCGTCACAAGTGTCAGCACATCGTAAATTTCCGTGTATCCACCAACCTGGTGAAGAGACATACCAGATATGAAGGAGGTCCAAGGCAAATTTGATGCTACCTGTGTTTCGGTACCATGTATACCACGGTTTAGTTGTGTTAAGCTTGAGTTTCTCAACCGAGTATCGTGAAAAAGTCACTGGAACTGCCAAGTCAACATCTCCACTGTTCCCAGTCACGGTTAGACTAAGAGTGCCTCAAGTAGCCGATGAATAGTTACCTGTATACCCAGATTCTTAGTCCGGCTTTCATCAGCTTTCTATAAATCGGCAGCATTGTCTCATCCGAATCTTGCCAGTTGGTGTTAATCGTTTCGCTGCAACACAAAGATAAGATAGATTGGTACAAAGCAATCAACTAAGCTGGAACCTGCATCCCGTCCAGTTGTAAGGAATGCCTGTTACGTTGGCATGGAGAGCTTGTTGGGCGTCCGGTCTGTTGAAGTAGACCTCAACGTAGTCATCCCAACAAGGATCATACCCGCCGTATTGGTGTTTTCTCGACACCTTCTATGCCCATATTTTTCCATCAAGTAGGAAAGGGATATAAAACCTAGAGGACTTACCGGATCACTGAAGAACCGTGTGAACGTTCTCTGAGCAGAACTGGCGCGAAGACACACCGGAGCCTAGATGTTGTAGGGATCTATGGCACCGAACTCGTGCTGGTAGATATTGGTCTTGCATTGGTCTTGAGTCGCGTTTGTCTCGACTTTGAGATTACGGTAGCGGACGATGGAACGGTACGTGTTGTGGGAAATGAGAGCGTGCGACCACCAGAAGTCCACACTCCTGAGTCTGTCTTCCTGTGCATTTCCGACCTGGATAAAAGCAGGTCCCAACGATACGGAGAAAATAAATTCTACATGAACCTTTGAGATTTACATCTGGATTTTTGTTCTTGTCGTCTATGAGAATCGCAAGCTGAGGAGCGTTTGCTTTATGTCCTGTTTGGAAAAATGAATAAAATAGTACAAACTTGGCGGAAATGTGTGGAGCTTACCAGCGTAACTTTCACGAGTGATGTAGAAATCTCGGGAAACCGCTCCAACCATCCCCCTGGCTGTACAGTATCAATGTCCGGTACTGAAAAAAAGGACAACATTACCTGTGTACTTAACTCCTGGAAACTTCAAAGCCGTACTGGACTCAAGAAACAAGACATTTGCGACTGTTCGCAAAACAAAAACACGAGAAAAGAGAAAACTTGAATTGGTGTCACTCCCTGGAAGATAGTGGATGCGGTGGCATTCTTTCGAGAACACGCTCCACCAGATTATCAGCCGTCAAGACGGCCTAGGGCTTTTCTCTTGTTTAAGAGCTTTAATTATCCAGCTTTATCATTGTTAAAGGGATGGTCGGAGCCAATTTTGTTGCGGCGATGCCGACAAGGCGACGCTGACGGTCGATTTCATTCATCCTTGTAATGCAAGCGAGGTCATGTTATCGATCGCGCTATAAAATGGGAATATCATTCGAGAAGGATTGACTAAATCGGCTGATAGTTGATCGACACAGTGCGTGGAGCAATGCCGCTGCCCTGGATCTCGACAGCATTGCTCGTGATCTTGGCTGGGTATGCGAAATATGTGACTAGCAGCACAAAAGAATGCGACCACGTCCACCATCTTCCCGGGAGTGACTCCAATCTCTACCACTTCGATCAGTAGCGCCGGCTATGTGACCGTGAATCAAAGCGCTGGGAGAGCTCTCTTCTACTGGTTCACCCAGGCCAATTATAAACAATTATTATAAATTAGCAAATACGCACGATCTGGTGTTCAAGCCGCTTGGGCTAGTAGAAGTTTTTCATGTCTTTCATTACAATATTTTGTTCTTCACTGCTCCTCTGATCGCGTATGGTGCTATGCAAGTACCAAATCCGGACTCTTCCACAATGGAACAGGGGTAAGGATAGTTAAGATTTCTTGAGCCCGGGTTTTCTCTTTTCTTGTGTTTTATCCTGTGCTTGCAGTCGCGAGTGTCTTGTTCTTGGAGTCTCCCACACGAGTTGGCTTCTCTTACTCCAATACTAGCAGCGATTTGAAATTTCCTGGAGATAAGAACACAGGTAATATTGTTTTCCTTTTTCTAGTAGACTGGACATTGTCCGCTGTACAGCCAGGGACTCTTATATCTTGGTTGGAGCGGTTTCCCGAGTACAAGAAGAGAGATTTCTACATCACTGATGAAAGTTATGCTGGTAAGCTCGGGGTTGGCTTCAAGTTTGTACTATTTTAGTCATTTTTTCAAACAGGACATTACGTTCCTCAGCTTGCAAATGTCATATACAACAAGAACAAAAAGCAGGCAAATCCAGATATAAATCTTAAAGGCTTCATGGTTAGTCTTTGTCAAAGAATTCATTCCTCCGTATTGATGGAATCTTTTTTTATCCAGGCTGGAAATGCACTGCTGGACAACGAGAAAGACAACATCGGCAAGAGTAACTATTCGTCATGAGATACTTAGGCAGTCCTTTTGTTCTAACTGCGAGTGTGAACAGTGGAGATGTCGACTCGGTTGCTTCACAATACTCAGTTGAGAAACTCAAACTTAACATTTCTAAACCGTGGTATCCATGGTACCGAGAAGAAGAGGTAGCATTTGGAGCTCCCAAACTTCTCGTTCATATCTTGTATCGTCTCTTCACCAGGTTGGTGGATACAAGGAGATTGACGGTCCGAGGTGCTGGCCATGCGCTACCAATGTTCCAACCCGGCTGTACCGCTCATCAAATCCTGGCTGGAAAGCCAATGCCATCGTGATAGTAAGCTAGCTGCATTCTTGGTTTGATTTTATAGCCAAACTGTGATAGCTCAAAACCTCACAAAGTGAGAATGAATTCACTTACCAGGGTATCTTTGTTGAGTTCGTTTAGTTATGGCTCTAGCAGATCGCTGCTAGTGAGGCTTTGGAACGTGTCCATCCACAGCGAAGTTCCTGGTAGCCGGCGGAAGAGCCAGACGCATCCCATCCAGCTCTGGTTTGGCGATGATTTGGCAGCCAAGACGTGATCTGGAACACCAGCGGTAAAGTTTCTTCTTTCTTTCTCGTCCTCATTGAAGTGGAACTTACGTCTCTGTGAGCCCGAACGCCAGGTCGAGCATATCGTTCTCTTCGTCGGATGGCTCTGGCAACTTCTGGTAGAGCTCCTCGTCCTGACGATCGAGAGAAACTTAGCGCGACAAGAAAGCGACGATCTGGAACTATACCATGAAGATTACGTGACAAGTCGAGCAGGCTAGAGATCCCTCGCAAGCCCCTGACACAAACCCGAGGTAACTATGCTCAATCCATTGCTAGAGCAGAAAAGAGAAAGAGGTTTACCTTCCAGCTCGATCTCGTTCTCGTGAGCAGCTTCTAGCATCGACATTCCAACGGGAACCTGGATCGATTTCTCGCTGCCATTCTTGTCCACAAAGGTCACAGAGATCCTGGAAGAACAGAGAATCAAATCACGAGAAGTTCGTACCCAAGAGCTTACTTTGGTTTGTCTTGTTCACTGGCGGCACTGGGTGATGAGAATGCGCGCGATCGGAGACGACTGGACCACGGCTGGCAAATTTTCCAATCCCATCACAAGAAACCTAGCCTCCACTTCTTGCTTCGTTACCTGGGGCGGACGCCTAGAACCTAGATCATGCTCCTGTGGCGCGGATGATCGGTGGCACCACAAAAGAGGCGATTCACGACGCAAATGCGAGCAGCGCTGTGCCAAGCTCCTCCTCGCGGCAGCACTCAGCGACATCCCAAAGTGTACGGGCCAAGATTAGGCGTACGATATGGTCCATTTACGCTATTCACAATGAAAGTATACATCCCAGGAAAGGTGTTAAAGCCTAGTTTCATTTTGTATTTAGTCAGTTATAAGGTTCTAGCACTTGCTAAAATATTTTTTCAGCAATTTCTTGTAACAACATCAAGTTTATGGACTCAAAAGATAGCTTTTTACAAGAATAACCATGGATAATAATATTGACTTCTAGACTATATGAGAAAATATTTGGTAAATCAATTATTAGAAAATATATTTTATTTGAAATTGTGAGGGCCAAGTGTATGGCTACAATGCCGTATACTAATATTAGCGTAGTGGGATTTTGGTAACCGTTGGATTGATTTCAATCCAGACCACTCACTCTTGTATATAAACTAGGGTTTTTAGGCTAATTGATATGCATATTTTCTATATTTCCTTTCCATATTTCAAACACTCACATTAGTGGAGATGAGGGGCATTTTTTATTGTTCCTGAGGAGTGCTTAAATTTGGGATTCTGGTTTAAATCTAACTTTTGCATTGTCTAAATATAATTTTTTCCATTTCCTTTCTTTTGTTTTTCCCTTTCAAGATTTTGGTTTAGATCTAGCTTTTTGCATTGTCTAGATTTACCATTTCCTTCTAGCTTTTTGTCATTTGTCTTCTTTTGCTCTTTTTTTTTCGTTCATCTTCATGGCAGATCAGCAATCTCCTCTTTTGACTTTGGAGCAGTAGTTGGTCCAATTGCTTGATACTATATGCTTGCAATTGAACAACCAAATTCAATTGATAGTAGCATTCATGGCACGTGGTATAACTCCTCCTGCTCTTGGTGCCAATCCTCACGTTCGGCTGGAGTTCTTTCGCAGGAATCGTAGGGATGATGTGTACCATTGGTTCGATTACTTCAAAGTGATTGCCATATATCATTCTTGGGATGATGTTCGACGTTTGTGTGAATTTCCCACGTGTCTCCAAGGGATGGCGTTGTAGTGGTACAATGGTTTGAACACAGCCACTCGTGGGGATTGGAGTGTTTTCCCGAATGTCTTCAAACGCAACTTCGAACATGCCAATGACTATGATGATGCCTTCCAACAATTGCATCGTCTTCGCCAAAGGCCATTTGAGTCGGTGATGTAATTTGGCGTTTGTTTTCGAAGTTTTTTACTTTGTGCGGAGCCCAATATGTCGGAGTAGATCAAGCTAGGAATGTTATGGCCAACACTTCGTTAAGATCTTGTCGGACTTGTGCATGCATTTGCTCCTGCCACCCTTGACAATGTTCTTCGCTTAGCACAACGTTATGAGATGTCGCCTCTTTCACTTCTCGCTGCACGTCCTTCAACTCCACTTTCTATGAGTGATGGTCCTGTTCCAATGGAGGTTGATGCTGCTACTGCTCGAGTCCAAAGACAAGGGTGAGGACGTGGTCGTGGCCGTGATGTTCGTTGTTGGGCATGTGATGAAGTTGGTCATACTTATCGGTGTTGTCGGTGTTTTCTGGATTGGCGACCTCCATTTCCTAGGTGGAGACCTTGGCGTTAGCAACGTCCTGTTGGTGCTGTTGCAGTGGAAGGTTTGGACAACAAAATGCATCCAGGAAACGAGGAGTTGCGCGAGTAACGAAGGGACCTTGCGCGAATAAGTCAGTGACCCCTCCATCTTTCTTTCGGGAGTATCATCAAGGGGTTCACTTGGCACCAGTTCATCAAGTGTTTACTTTCCAAGCTCATTTTTATAACAAGAGGTCTCTTATTATTCTCTCCATGTTGGTTGATACAAGTTCGAGTTTATCTTTTATTGCTCGACCTATTACCACACGTTGTCATCTACACTTGCGTCGTGCAGCGAAACTGGTTTTCATTTTTTATGGCAACAGCTGTACACATGCATGTGCACGAGATGAGGCGGACCTGGTTGTGCGTGTGGGCGATCTTGAATTGTAGTTGTTGCGGGTGATGCCAAGTCAAACTTTTGACCTCATTCTTGGTATAGATTGGTTGCAGCGCAATCATGCCAAGTGTGACTTTGAGGCTTCTCTTCTTTGTTTCATATTTCCTTATGTTTTATCAATTCCTCTCACTTTCGTACCTCTTCGTCCCTCTACTTCTACCTCTGCTTCCATTACTTTTGTTCCCCCACTATTTCCTCCTATGTTTCCATCTTATTCTGCTTTTCCCTTTTTTGATCCCTCCAACGATCTTTGTGTTGCAGTGGTTGACCGGCTCATGAAGGAGTATTATGATCTTTTTGAATTTGACCTATCGTCTGGGGCTAAGATTGCCACACGTCATCTGATTCCAACCGGGGATGCTTGTCCAATCAAGGTTCCTGTTCGTCGTTGGTCACCCAAGGAAATCAAGATTTTACGTGTAAACGTCAAAGAGATGTTGGAGAAGAGTGTTATTCGGAAGTCACGGAGTCGTTGGGTATGTAAACCTCATCTTGTGACAAAGTCTGATGGGAGTATTCATTTCTACATCGACTATCCTCCATTAAACAAAGTAACGATCCCAGATGTGTACCCTCTTCCTCACATTATTGATCTCTTGGATCATCTGGGGCAAAGTTGTTAGTTCACGAAGCTAGATCTAGATTTTGGGTACTAGTAAGTATCGATGGCTGAAGACGATATTCCTAAGACTGCTTTTCGTACGCCATTTGGTTTAGTTTGTACGAGTTCTTGGTGGCTCCAGCAACTTTCCAGTGGATGATGGACGAGGTTCTTTGCGATATGCCGGAGGTGACTGCTGACTTTATTGATGATGTCTTGATCCACTCGGAGGGGACATAAGAAGAGCACATTTATGATGTTTGTAAAGTGTTGGATTGGCTACGTGACATTGGTTTAAAGCTGAAGTAGTCGACGTGCGTGTTTGGGTCCAAGGACACAACTTATCTTGGGTATCGTATTTTTTGTGAGGGTTTGCAAGTTGATCCTGACAAACTTGTGGCTGTTCTAAAGTTCCCTACTTTGAAGTGTGTGAATGATGTGCAACACTTTTTGGGCAAAGTGCAGTATTTTGGTCATTTTGTGAATCATCTTTCTGATCACACTGCACTGTTGCGAGCATTGCTGAAGTCATCAACGTAATTTTTTATCTGGTCTCCGGATTCTGAGCGGGCGTTCGGGGATCTCAAAGAGTTGTTGACGACTCCTCCAGTTTTGGCATATCCTAACTACTCTCAACTTTTTATTTTGCACGTGGATGCTTCTGACATTAGTCTTGAAGGTGTGTTAATGCAAGAGAGCTCAAGTGTGTCTAGTCAGCACCATCCCATTGCATATATAAGCCGTATATTACAACCAGTAGAGATGAACTACTCCATGATAGAGAAGGAGTGTTTAGCAACAATCTAGGGTTTCGAGAAACTTCATACATATCTATATGGTTCTCGGACGTTACTTGAAGGTGACCATGCTACTATTACTTCATTATTGAAGTGGAAGAACTTGGTTGGTCGTACTACTCGATGGGCTTTGAAGCTTCAAATATATGATTTTGTTCATTGCGTAGGGAGTTCTATGGTTGATGCTAATGCCCTTTTTCGAGCTCCTCTTCCTTCTTTACTCTCTTCTCATATTTCTAATGAGCCTATTGTTCCAGCAACTGTGGATTTTCTAAATGAGGATTCTGTGCTGATGGTAGTTGCTGTACTTGACATTTAGTGTCCACAAAGTGCAGAGCAAGATCTACCTTCTCTTGATGAGGTTCATGAGGCTCAAAAGATTAACCCGTGGATTCGAAGGCTTCAAGATGGGTTTGAGAATCCTGCATCATTTGTTGATGACTTGCCTTTTCGGCATTTACATTCTCAATATCACTTTGAAGACAACCTTCTTTATTTTGTGGGGACAGATCCTGATAATCATTTATGGCTAGTGGTGCCTTCTGTCTTTATTCCGCGGTTTCTCTATGCCTACCATGATTCTCCTGTTCTAGGTGGGCATATGGGACATCGTTGTGTGATCGAGAAGCTGCACAGGTCTTTCTATTGGCCGGAGATGCGACGTGATATTATCTGGTATGTGTGTAGTTGCATTTGGTGCTAAGCTCATAATACTCCCCCTTGTGCTACGGAAGGACGGTTGGAGTTGATTGTAATTTCCCGTCCATTTGAGTTGGTAGCGTTTGATCTTATGGGACCTTTTCCATAGTCGACTGTTAGTAATGAGTATGTTATTATTGTTTTTGACTACTTGGTTCGTGTAACGCATTTTATCTCTCTCCCCTTAAGCCAACTGGAAAAGGGGCAATTGCTTGATGAGAGAGCCCTTAGTGGCTATTTTATTCCCATTTATCCCCCAAGGTTCCAAGGATCTCATCCCATGATCACATGCGCTACACTCACCCCCCCTTCAAAGATGTCAATGTCCTCATTGACTATTGACTAACAACCCCTACTGAGCCAAGGGGAACCAGCACCTCCATTTCCGCACTCAATCTACCAATCCTTCCATTGGTCTACTCAGAGATGTCAATGTCCTCATTGACTATTGACTAACAACCCCTACTGAGCCAAGGGGAACCAGCACTCAATCTTTCCGCACTCAATCTACCAATCCTTCCATTGTGTAGACCAATTATTCCATGTGAGACAACTAGTCATCCACCTGTATTGTAGTCCCACGATGGATATTCCATGTGAGACAACTAGTCATCCACCTGTATTGTAGTCCCACGGTGGATACCTTCGTCCATGGATATGTGAGACAACTAGTCATCCACCCGTACTGCAGTCCCATGGTGGATACCTTCGTCCATGGATATTTCATACAAAAGGAAGGACGTATGCATGGATGCCCAATACATATGATTTCAAATTTAGGGGTAAGAATATACCTTGCTCAAGGGTATATTATACTTTTAAGTAGCCACTAATCAATGGGAATTGAACCCGTGCCATTTGCTCCGATACCAACTGTAACGCACTTTATCTCTCTCCCCTTAAGCCAACTGGAAAAGGGGTAATTGCTTGATGAGAGAGCCCTTAGTGGCTATTTTATCCCCATTTATCCCCCAAGGTTCCAAGGATCTCATCC